GCTGAACATAGGTTGCGCACTTCAGTACCATCCATCTGTAGGGGCATGCCGCGTGAGTCAAGGCCATGTACAACTATTTGAAGATCCGGAGACTTGGTAATTTCCCGAACTGTAGCCTTGAGAGGCAACCTCTGCAGTAGGCTGGTACCAGTCCCCAGGGCAGCAGACGACACAAACAGGTCTAACTCAGTTGGTACACCCACGAACTGTTGAAAAACGGGCCCCTGTTCGAACTCCACTGGATGCATATCACCAGGACACTACCAACCGCTCCGCTGTTGCCAGTTGGGTATGCCGCGGGGCTCAGCCCCGCTTGTATCCCTTGGGACATCCCTTAAAATTGGAATTAGTAAGGCCCCTGCATTGGTTCCGGGCCTGGTTATACTACCCAAGAGCTTAGCTCAATGGGCACACTCATGAACACCTTGAACTGTTGAACTGCGGACTCCGCTAAAAACAAATGAGTAAAAGGCTGCAACAGTGAAGTACCTGCGGCCAGCCACTTTTTGTGGGAATATCCCATTGCTGGGCCCACGGTTTAGTCCTTCGGGATATCTGTTAAAATTGGAACGATACATAGAAGATAAGCATGGCCCCTGCGCAAGAATGACACGCAGATCTGGGACTATACACAACTATGTTGGCTGTTTCCCAGGTTTGGGCCTTGCGGGACTTGATCCCATGACCTGTAATTTTTTTATTTTTTTTTTTATTTTTTTTTTTTTTTTTTGGGTTGCTAGGCCTGATCTTCAGACCGTAGCCAAATAGCCTCTACTTGACAGCCCTGGGCCTTCAGCCTAGCTGTTTTGTCCCTGCCTGCTCTTCTGAGAGATGGGTAGGCCCGTAGGTTTATTTTTCTTTTTTTTCTTTTGTTTCTCTCTCTTTTCTTCTTTGTTTTTTGTATACGTTTCCATCTAGGTGCATGTAGGCAGATCAGGAAAGTTTGGTTGTAGATGTTAGCTGTCTGAACAGACAGATAAGGGGGACTACTGTGAGGACTCGAGTAGAAAAGGTTGAAGGCCGACGACGTCGAGGTTCACTCCGCTTGCTTTCACGCAGCGAATTTGGTGGAGGGGAAGTTGCTCCCGCTGCGCTATGTTGACGAGTGTATATGTAGGGCGTCTCCCTCATGCACTACTGATGACCATAGCTGGGGATGGGCAGCTCTATCGGTGGCAGAATAGGGCACGACGCTCGAGTGGAGGTGAGCACTTTTTTCGTAGTCATGTGCTTGCTGGTGGGAGGACAGTAGCCACCAAATCCGCACTTCACGTGGTGCTTCTTCAACGTGGCAGATCTCCATCTCTGTCGAGTTGTTGCTCTTCGTCATCATCCTAGGAGTTCGCTTGAAAACGTGAGCAGTTCATCTACCGCACGCAAGAAACAGAGGAAACGGGACTTTTGAAAGAGGATGCACGTTCTGGCCGAAATCCGGTCCAGGTACGTGGAGGTGAGAGAGGGAAAGTGACGAAGGTGGGAAGTGGATATGGCGAAGGGAGATATCTGTAGCCTGCTCAACTCTTAATGGAATTGGGTGAGGAATAAAGCCAAGTGGCGGTTTTTCATATGGGCGAGTTGAATGGCAAAGTCGGCTCGACGTTTAGACGAATTAGGCAGGAGCTAGGAGAAAAAAGGAATGCGCGGGAGAGGCGAGAGGAAAAGCGAAGCGAGGAGGAAATTGGGATATTTCCTCCATTTTTCGATGAAACGGGACGAGTGAAGGGTTGAAATTGGGGTTTTGGGGCGGTGTGATCGCAATGGCAGTGTTAGTTTTTGCGTTAAGTTGTTAGTTTGGTCAGGACAGCTACTAGGGGCTGCGCGATAGCAACAGAGAGTTTTTGAGGTATGATCGTATATCTTCCCATATTCTGGCGGAAGATTCTTCTGAGCAAACGTAACAATTCTGATCCTGTAGATTGTGCTCACCGTGGCAGTTCTTGGAAGTTCATCTTCATCACGACGATTGCCGTGCTTGTCACACCTTGATGGGCGCCGTCGAGGTGGGCCGTTGGTATTTCGAGACTGATATGATTGTGTTTTTTTTGGCTGCTCCTCGTCATCTTTATTGTATTCCTCTGTTGTAGAGGTTGTCTTCATGGTGCTTTTTTTTGCCATTTAGCCCATCGTCTCCATCATCATTGTGTCTTATAAGGTTCATCGTGCGCCCCATTTTATTGAGACAAGTTGTCCCTGAAAGAAGTGGATGAATCTGACCGAGGTTTCGGGYCAAGTGCACTAGAAGCAGTTAGTAATAACAGTAGAGGGGCTGGCAACCTACTAGTACGAGGCAAAGAGAGAGTTGTGGCCTGGAGCTCCCCTCAGCAGACAGCCTCTATTTAGAGCTCTATTTGGCAGCCTCGGATTTTCCGCGCGCGCGCGCGCGCGAGAGAGAGAGAGAGAGAGAGAGAGAGAGAGAGAGAGGAGGGTGAGAATACGGGCACCGACAAGCAGGGAATGGGGTTGGGTTTGAGCTTCTTCT